TGATGTTGCCCCCATCACGGAACTCGGGTGCGTGGCCTGGCCCCTGCCCGCGGGAGGGTGGTGGACGACGTGTGTGTTGAGAACCGCCCGGAGCTGACGCCGTCCGCGGACATGCGCGGTGCCCGACGTGTCCTGTTCGCTTTAATTGAGACTCCCCGTCCATTTGCTTCGTGTGAGCAAGTCCCTGAGGACCCTCTGTGACCGGGTCTGACGGACTCCAGGCCAGGACGTGCATCTATTTTAAGATGCTTTGGCGCAGACAGCGCCGGCCGGTCCACCCTCAGCCATGCCTTAGCCGGGACGCGAGCTGCCGCTCCAGAGGTGAATGAAGAGAGAGGAAGCGAAGAAGTGTCTCCGCAGCGGGAAAGGTGAAAAAAATCTATTTTTGTACAAATGTAATTTTATCGTCATGTAAACTTGCTGATACGCGGGAGGGGCTTGCTCTGTTTCTGCCCGGATCGCGAGGTGGCCCTTCAGGGATTTACTGAGAATGAACAAGGAAAAGTTACAATGGTCTCTACCATCTGTGCACCTTAATATTAAAATAAGTTGGTCGGGCTGTCCCTGCCGCCACGCCTCCCTGCGCCGACTGTGAAACTGCTTCCGACGGACTGTTCTGCAGCGCTAGCCGCGGGCCGGGTGTGCGAATCGTGGAAAAGAAAGACAAGCGTGGGAGGAGGAACAAAACATGAGCGTTTAAAACATCCTGCCCTCCAGGCCTCGTTTGTTCTGCTGGGTTTCCTGTTCGGGTCCGACGGCTGCACAAGGGGGTTCCGGGGCTTTCTGCCACCGGGGGGCGGGCGGCCATCCTCAACCTGACCCTGCCAGGCCGGGGAAGGCACAGCAGCGGGACCCTCCGGCCATCTGGGTGCCCACAGACGCCTGGATGACGCCCGTCTGCTCCTTCCTGTGTGACCAGTGCCCTTCGGTCCTCGCTGCCCGGCCTGGGCTGGGCCAAGCCCTCCCGTGTCTCTGTCTAGCAGGCCCCTTGGGGGAGGCCCTGGGCACCCCGGACAGATGGCACTGAGGGTGAGAGCCACTCCCAGCCGGGAGGGGTAGACCTTATAAGGGCCTGAGAGGCAGGGCTCCCCTGACATCCCCCCCACAATGGGCTCACACACTCAACCTGTGTACACACGCTCACACATACAGGTGACGCACGCACACACACTGAAATGCACAACATTCACGCTCATCTATGACACCCCCACCTGCTGCCCGCCCGGGCACGTGGACTGTGGCTGGTGGGGGAGTGGTGGGGCGGAGGGGCCTTGGCAAGCTCACAGCAGGACTGTCCAGGTCCCTGCAGAGCTGGCACCACACCCACTATCTCCTTCCCAGGGGGGATGGGGTGACGGCCCCACCTGCCTCTGAGCTGCTCTCTGGGCCCCCGATGGCCTGGACGGTGGTGCCCAGGGGACCTGGAGCCACAGGAACGGTCCACCATCTACTTAAGACCCGTGGCCAAGCCCGCTGCGGAGTGCCCGGGCCAGTGGGTCCTCATGCCCGCCCCTGGCAGGGCCCTGGCCTCGCCCATGGCACCCATCCGGGACCTCCTAGACGGGGGTGTCTGAGGCCCTGGCCCTGCTCACCCAGTACAGCCCCCCGCTGGCCTCTGGGCCCTGCTGGGAGCGGCTCACAGGTTCCAGCCGGGGGCCCCTTCTTGAGGGGCCTGGAGAATTTGGGGGCTGCCTCCTGCTTGAGGGACCCCGTTCTGCCGCCCACATGCCCAAACCCTCTGTGTGGGACACTGGGCCCCCGCGGTCCACTCCCCAAGCACTGGGCATGGCCTCCAGGGCATGAGTGGGTGAGCCCAGCGGGGGGACCGCAGCAGGGTGGGGAGTGCAGAGGGCGGGCTGGTGTGGGTGTCCCCTGTGGAGAGCCGGCTGGGCAAGGAGGGGCCCCCGGGCCCGGGGAGGTCCAGGAGCAGGAGGTCCCTGAGGTCCCGCCCTTGGTGCTGGGAGGACGGAGCCTCGAGCAGGGCCTGGGTCGGGGACGCCTGTGACCGTCAGGGGTGGCCCAGGCCAGAGCAGGATGGTGGCCAAGAGCCTCTTGGGGAGCTCACCTGGACGGCGTGCTCACCTTCGAGAGGGGCCTGGACGGTGTCTAGGTGGCAGGGCTCACACCTCTTCCTGCGGGGAGCCCGCCGGAGGCCACCCCTCAGGCTGCCCTGAGCCTTGCCAGGCAGCCTGGCCTCGGCGATGCCTGCCCAGGGTTGTCCCCCGGGACCGGGGACGCTGAGCTCCAGGCGGTGACAGCGGTCGCAGGGTTTGGGGTTTGTAACCTGAGCGCTGAGGGTGGGGTGGGGGCATCTCCAAGGCCCTGCTGGGTGCCAGGGGCCCAGTGCCAGGCAAGGGCCAGCCTTGCCATCGGCCGGCAGAAAGGGCATGTGTGGCAAAGGGGCATCAGAGGGCTGGGGAGAGGCCTTGGGAACGGGCAGAGGACACGGTCAGGAGTGGGTGCCATGGCTGGGGCAGCAGCCTTCAGAGGGGAGGCCCTGTGGAGGTGGCCGGAGGGGCGGAGCGTGCAGGGCGTCAGAAGGGCCCACGTAAAGACCTCAGTCCCCAGCCCTCTGATGCCCCCAGTCCCATCTGATCAAACCCGGGGCTCCCGTGGGGTGAGGACCGACCCTGACCCTGGTCAGGACGGGGCGGCTGCTGCCCTAGTGTTATGGGCCTGGCAGCACTCCCACGCCTGGCACAGAACCTGAGGACAGTGCCAGCCCCGCCCCAGGGGGCATCCAGCCACTGTGACCTGTCGGAGTGGACTGGCCATTCAATCTAACATCCCCCCCGCCCCCCTTCAGCAGTGGAACCTTCTACACGGACGCCCAGGGAGAACCCAGGGCAGGCGGAGGGCCTAGCCCCCGGTCCCCCCCCTACTGGGATGGAGCCCGCAAACCAGGGCATGTGCCCTTGACCTGGAATTGAACTGTGACCTCCTGGGTCATAGGTCCACGCTCAACCACTGAACACGTGGCCAGGCACCAACCCCTTGGTTTTGATGGACCCCCAGGCTGCCCGGGTGGGGTGGGGGGTACACCGGGTCCCTCAGAACAGCTCTAGGGGAGCTGGC